AAAAAACTAACCCCTACAAACTTAACCGCTGGAACCATAAGCACACCCTACACCAACTGGGAACAACTGCTCCCACACACAGAACCCACTAACACTGATTTGACTAAGCTGCTCCCAAAGAAACAGAGCCCAACAGCACCAATATAACCAAGAACTCCTAGTGAACCAAGACTAACAATTAGAACAAGAGAGGCACCTTCAGACACAGACACCACCTGCACTGAGCAGAGGAAGAGATGAGTAGACGCCAGTGCAAAAATACAGGCAACAACATCAGAACCTAGTGATTCCACACCTGCAAGACCTGAACTTACCAAGACAGAAGAAACCAAAGAAATCAATCCTAAAAATGACTTGAAGAAGATAGAGGCCCTTAAAGAAGAAATAAAAAAATTCCCTTAAAGAGGAAATAAAAAATTCCCGAGAGAGGATTCAAGATGGCAGAGACAAGCAGACGCAGGTAGGCCTGTGGCAGCGGCCCGCGGAGGTAGATGGGTCTGGCGGCAGCGGCCGACAGGGACATTTAGGCCCGGCGGCAGCTGGTGGAGACATTCAGGCCCAGCGGCGGCCCACAGAGGTGGACAGGCCCTGCGGCAGAGATAAGCAGACAGAGGTGGACGGGCCCGGCGGCAGCGGCCGACAGAGACATTCAGGCCCGGCGGCGGCCCACAGAAGTAGACAGGCCACGCGGCGGAGACAGGCGGACGCAGGTGGGTCCACAGCAGCGACTCGCGGAGGTGGAAGGGCCTGGTGGCAGCGGCCGACAGGGACATACAGGCCCAGCGGCAACCGGCAGAGACATACACGCCTGGTGGCAGTTCACAGAGGTGGATGGGCCCTGCAGCAGTGACAAGCAGAGGTAGGTAGGCCCGCGGTGGCAGCCGGCAGAGATATACAGGCCCGTTGGCCGCCCACAGAGGCGGTTGATAGGGACGTGCAGGCCCGGCGGCGGCGGAGACAAGTGGACGCAGGTGGGCCTGTGGTGGCGGGCCACAGGGGTGGACAGGCCCCGGGACAGAGAGGGGCGGACGCAGCTTGGAACGGGGACGCCCCTAGCCCCAACACCTGGGGAAGAGGCTATCTCCGTGAGTCAGAACCAGGGCGAGTCTGGGCACTCCGTTTGGGGACAACCCAGGGTCCAACTACTGATCCTGTGAAACCCAACAACTTGGAGGTGTTGGTGAGACTACCCTGCTCAGCTGAAACCCATCTGGGAGAGGATTCAGATGCCTACAGTTTGAAGTCTGAAGAAACAAGATCAGCTGAGGAGTTGACAAATGAACAAAACGTGACCT